TTCTTCTTCTTCTTCTTCTTCTTCTTCTTCTTCTTCTTCTTCTTCTTCTTCTTCTTCTTCTTCTTTTTAAATTTCTCATACTTGGTCATCAAATTCTGAGACAATTTTATAAATCTGCTTTAAGAACGTGTTTAAGAACCTAACTCTTTTGTTTATGTTTGTTTAAGAAGCACCTTATGTAGTATAATATATATTTTTGTTGAAATTTAATTGCTTGTTTATTGGACAATTGAATGTAATAGTTCTGTTTTGAGTTTTAATTTGATTGGGTTAACAGTGCAAAAACCAAGGGAAAATATTTAGGGTTTTTTTTTTTTTTGGTAGACTTTTCAAACTACTGTGTCATGTATGCAGTTATTAATGCCTAAAGCCTGGTGATTTTCATTTAAATGAAGATCACATTTCATATCAACTTTTATATCCACAGTAGACAAAATAGCACTAATCTACATGCCTATTGTTGGATGTTGAATGACAGTCTTATGTAGCAGAGATTTTGCCTGAGAAGGAAAATTATTCAGGGCAGCTAATTTTGCTTTTACCAAAATATCAGTAGTAATATTTTTGGACAGTAGCTAATGGGTCAGTGGGTTCTTTTTAATGTTTATACTGAGATTTTTCTTTTACAAAAATAAAAACAAAAATTTAAAAAAAAACCTTCTAGGACTTTAGACGATATAATACCAGCTAAATCCAAACAATACTCTAGTGGAGGGTTTTACATTATCCCATCTACTGTGTTTGTATTCGTGTTATGATAGTAAGTTTGAAATGGGCAGAGAACATTAGACAGCTGAAGTGTTAGCCCACAAGTTTCAAACAATGTTTGGCAATCTCTTTTTACCCTTATCTGAAGTGCCAAATTTGAGCAGCTGACATCTTTTAGCTGCTATTGTGTTGGGGCATTGGGGACATGCTAGAGAGGCAAACCTGTACTTTCCCCCTCACCTGGAGATAATTTAAAAGTTGAATGTAATAATCTACCCAAAGAGTCAGCATGAAGTGGGTATGGAGATGTAGGAATTTGAATAACAGGTGGGAAAATGGAAATAAAGTGTATGGACATTATTCTGGCATCCTGAATATGCCCCAGGTTTCAGAATTTCACTTCTGTCTGCACTGTAATAAAATAATAACTAGCTTCATTGGCAGCAATTTCCAAAATGGCGGCTTGAGTTCAAAGGAAGAGTGTAGCAGCAGCAGTGAAATCCAAAGAAAAATCCAGCACAGGGTCTGCCTAAGTTTCTGTTAGCTATTGTTTAGCTTGCTGATTTGATTCTGGTCATCCAAAGAAACGACCCTATCAATGTAGGTGACGAAGTCTAGACCCCAAGGAAATCATGTCTTTGATAGATTTCCTGGCAACATTGGAGATATGATTTTTGTATGCCATATCTTATGCCTTTGGGGCTGAACAAATAAGCGACTTAATAATAATTTCTTTTTAATCACATTGTGGTGTCCATACTCTGAAGTTTTATACATTGAAAAGTCATTGACTCCAGCCGTTGGTTTGGAGTTACCTGTACACCTGCATGAAGTCAATTACAAATCTCTTCCTATTCATACTTTGCAACTCTGAGATGTACTGTGGATACTGAGAATGATCACTAGGACCGTAGTAATGTCTAATACAGTCAGACTTGCTTGGGGAACCTAAGTCTTCTAAAGGCAACTAGAACGTCATACAGTAGCGCATAAGGCAATCATGATTCTCTTTGGTACAAGTCTTGGGAGGTTGATCCAGCTTACACTGTGCACTTCCTAGATTAACTCCATGAAAATGTACTCTCTTTCAACTGGAGCCAACACATCTACCTGTGGTCCCAAATATCCATCTTTCCATTAGTGTGAGCAGGCTCTGTCTCTAGCTTCATATCTTATCCATTTAAATTAAAGTGTGGTCTCTTTTAAAGTCCTTTAGACTTGCTTTCTAAGTGACTGCTGTCTGAATTATGGCACTGTCTCAATTTTGCACCGTGTTTCAGAGACTTAGGAGAAATTTCTATTTGCTTCTCCCCGCCCCCTTTCTTTTGCATTCGAATGTGCCTGAACTTTTTCAAACATGTAAATCCCATAGTTTGTGTCTCTGTATGGAGCTGTGCACCCTGGAAATGACATACAGTCCCACGAGCAGGTGCCTAGGACATGGACCCCTTTGTCTTCACAGAGAGGTCATTGGTCATTGAGACTTGAATTACTAAGTGACATTATGCCAGTCTATGTTCTTTCACAGCTTACAAACAATGCTTTTTGTGCACTACATATTCTTTAGTGTAGAGTTCTTGTTTTATGAGGAAAGGCACAGATGCCCAATTGTGTTTGATGGGTTACTACACTCTTCTGACGCATACTACCATTGATGTGATCCCGTTTCGTCGCAGCAGCTTTGCTTTTTTAATGAAACACACTTGTAAGCCTCTTTTGCACCTTGAAATGGCAAAGAATCCAGTGGGATGCTCAAGCCCCTGTAAACCATCTTCTCCACATATTTGATGTTCAAATAAAAATAAAATAAAGGCAACAGGTTGTGTTATTATTATTATTATTGTTATTATTATTGTTATTATTTTAACTGCTCTGTTTCTTGCTAATAGTTCATTGCCGACCAAATGAAAGCAAAGAGATCCAAGGATCTGTATAGATTGCAGTGAGTCTACATGCCAAGATCTCCTCATTTACCTGGTACCAGGTTAAGAGGTAGGGATACTAATATTAGAATGACTCAGCGTTAGTTTGGATTTCCATAATATACAAGTTTTAGGACCATTGTCAATTATTCAACACTTAGTTTGTATGGAATGGTTCTGAGGGTCATGTAGGTACTCATATAAAGAGAGCTTCAGATGGCTTATTATAATTAGGTGAGTGTATGGATGTATGTTCTGGCATGGCAGTAATTACCCTAAAAATCTTCCTCCCACTCTGAAGGCAAGTTGAGGTCCCCATTTTATTATTTTATGATACCCTTTTCTTCTCAGAGCTACCAGCAATAGCCTTTTCCTATGCCATCTCTATGATTTAGCTGATGGAAGGTGAAGAGGAGATTGTGACATACTGAAAGGCAACACCATGTAGGAACACACTCTTCAGCTAACTTGCCTCATTGAAACCCGTATTCTTAGGGTTTTTACATTTACACTTACAACAAATTCTGTGTTCCCAGTTTCTTGACTTGTAACATGGGAATCAGCCCACTCTGCACTGCTATGACAAAACACTCGAGGCCAAGTAACTAACACAGTAAAGCTTACTTAGCCCTGAAGGCTGAGAATCTAAACAGTGTGGCAGAGCCTGGGACAAAAGCTTCATGGCAGATGACATCATAGTAGGGGTGAGGACAAGAAGGACCACTTGGTGAGCAGGAGAAGCAGAGAGCTTGTAGAGGCCAGTTTTGCTCCTATACAGTAACCTTCCTGCCAGGGGATCCCATGAGAACTGAGATCCCATGAGAACCACACCAGTGCCTTATAAGATCAGCAGTGTTTTGAATCTTTGGTTATCTGTGGAACAGTGCAATCTTCTAATAGGGTATGTGAACGTGGTGATGCCTGGGTTGAGGCCTCATTCAGCTCACAAACTGGCTCAGGATCAATTTCCAAGATTCCTCCTCCTCCTCCTCCTCCTCCTCCTCCTCCTCCTCCTCCTCCTCTTTCTTCTTCTTCCACTTGCTTATTTATTTATTTATTTATTTACTTTAAATTTCAGATTTTATTCCCTTCCCAGTCCACTCTGGACTATTCTACATTCCACACCTCCTTCCAGCCCTCTTGTCTCCAAGAGGATGTCCCCATTCCCCCACCCCCACCTCATCAAACCTCTAAACTCCCTGGGGCCTCTGGTCTCTCGAGGGCTAGGAGCATTCTCTCCGACTAAACCAAGATACTTTCTTAAGGTCTGACGGCTCATTTAA